AACAAGAGGGAAGACATGCAATGCAAGAATTAGAAAAGTAGAAGGAAACAAAGAAGATGAAAGAAGTAAGAAAATTAAAATGAAAGGGAGAAGAAGAAGAAGAAGAAAATAAGAATAGAGGGAGAAGGGAATTGGGGTGAAAGATATGTGGGAAAGGAAGGAGGAGGGGAGAGGTAGGAGAAGATGAGAAGATATTTGCTGATTCTATTTCTATGTCCATATATATAGATAAAATATATTTGATAGAAATTCTGTCGATTATGTTTCAAATTAGATTAATTACGAAATTTAACTTTTTTTGGCTGAGGATGGTAATGTAGGTATAATTGATCACCACTATGGCTATCGATTATACTCTATGGCTATCGATTATAAAAGTATAATCGATAATCATGGTGGCTGTCAATTATGTCAAAATTATATATATATATATATATATATATATTAATATTTAACCTTCTACTAGTAGTATTTATAAATATTACATATCTCATAAATAATAAATTTAGTAATAAAAATTTAATACTATCAAATGTGAAATTATTATACATATATGGCTATCGATTATACTCATATATCGACAAAATTAGCTGTCAATTATACCTTTATAATTGATAACTAATAGTGGTTGTCGATTATATTTATACGACCGTCAAATTATTATAATCGACAAAATTTTTGTCAATAATATGAATATAATTGATAGTATTTTGGTTGTCGATTATATTTTTGTTGGTTAAATGCTATTTTCTAGTAGTGTAACTCAATCCAAAATGAAACATTTCTAATGATATATTAATGACACATCATTAAATTAACTTATGTAGATTCAAAGAGCCCAAAAATATTTGTAGTGAGACTCATATATTATGAACATGTTACCAAAAAATTGAATGAAAATGAATTTTTAAATGAGTTAATGGCCATATTATCATTTAATTGGAAGATGGGCAAAAAGTAGTGCAGTTTAAGGAACTCAAAATTGCTTAAATAATTTAGAGATAAAAAATATTTAAAATTAAAAGTTTAGAAACTACAATTGGCATGTGACTTTTTTTAAAAAAAAAAATAAAAAAAGATACATCTCTTGATTAGCTTGCCACATCATCAAAAATTTATTGTAGGAACTTAAAAAGGATCCAAAAAGATAAAGTTAAGGATTAAAAGGGAAATTTCTTTAATTGAGGGACTAATAAGAGACTATATAAAAGTTAAGGGACTTAAAAAGCTGTTTTAACCGTGGCTTTATTATTATTTGTTCTTTCGCAAATAAGAAATATCCCACCACTAGGGCTGGGCACGTTGCCAGTCTTGTCGCGGCAACCGCCCAACCGAACGCTTTGGGCCAGTAATGGTTACCATACTGTAGGCCCAAATTTACAGTTTGGGCCACAAGTTGAGTAATGGTGATGAGGCCCATTTCCAATTTTACTGCTTGGGCCCAGATCGAACCATGGCGCAATTTTTTTTGTCTTTATTTAATGATAATGACATTTTTGTAATACTATAAATACCATGCGCTCGTTGAAAGATCTGTTTTTGCCATTCTCATCCGCAGCATCTCGTCTCTCTAAGACTCTAACAGTCTCAACCCCAACAGGAGTGTTGGGGTTGAGGCTCTTAGAGAGACGAGATGCTGATTAAAGTTCATGATCTAAATTTCTACTTTGAAGAACTTGAAGATTTGGGTTTCCTTTACTGTCTAAGGCTCTGAGCATTCTTGCCAAGCTTCATCCGTAAGGGAGAAGGCAAAAGAAACATTCCAGCAGAGATATATGGTACGTTATCTAGGATTCAACTTACTGTCTTTGCTTCATATGATTGCTTTCGTCTTTCCCATATTCTTTTCACCTAGGATTTATTCAACTCAATTTGTAATTGAGCAATGAAAAATAAATTGTTGCATTGAACTAAAATGGCAAACAGGATTATAAGCCAGGTGGGACTACTCCAATAAGAAGTGAACAGGATGTTCCAAGCAAGGGTATTATTGAGTCATTACGAACCATGCCAATATGGAAGCTTTGGTTGAAGAAATCTGAGAAAATAATTCATTTGACATTTGAGTCCAAGGAATTGAAGCCGTCGCTGATACCACGGTCGCCCCTTTCCCAAGTCAACTGATATTGGTCATGTCATCCTTATTCTCAGCATATTATCTGTATTATTGGTGTACTCTGTTTATCTGTCATCGTCATCTTCAGAAGATTGCAAGCATGCATCAGCAGTAAGCGTGGTCGGGGTCGAAGGAGAATTGCTTGTCTCAAGGGCTATAGTACAAATAATCCCTTCTCAGGATTTGATCGTCTGTAGCTTAAAATAGAAATGTAAATTCTGCCACAACAACCTTAAGTTCTATTCAGAATTCAAGGATCGCTGCTTTGCCTTTTGCTGCTATGTAATGAGTTACATTTTTGTTACATGAAAATGGAAATTTAAAACTTCGCAAAATGGTGCAATATAATTATTTCTTTTGCATTTTTTAAAATGATTTTTCATATTTGTGCTTTTCAAAAGACGATAAATAATGAGTTTACTTACTAAAAAATTAAAATATTGACTGTCCTACGTGGATAGCAATTTTTATAATTATTAATGGAGGGACAAGTTTTCTTGAATTTTACCTTTTTGTCAATAATTAAAAATAATATAATTTACATATAGTGAATTTTTTTTTTTTTTGGATCAACAAAATAAAAATTTTATTATAATTAGAGTACAAAGGTTATTCTTACCCATTTATAAAATCTGTACAAGGTATATTAATTCCCAAAATGTAAAACCATGCCACAGCTCATGAACTAAATCATCCATGTAATTTCTATTGATTATGAAAAAGTTTTAGACTACTATACCTTTTTCTTCTATTGCACACTCATGCGGCCTTGACAACCATTCTTAAAATGAGAATACAGACTCTCCAGTTTGTACTTAATTCATACAAATGATTTAACCTGCACAACACTTAGCACCTTTTCCCCAAAATTTCCCTCTTTCTTAAATGCTTTATGTTTCTTCAATGCCATATATACCAAGATACCAATAGAAAAATACAAGATCCCATTTCTTTGCCCACACTCTTTCCCAAACCAAACAAAAAATAGTCAACCATCCCCCTTACTGTATTAAGCAACCCCCCCTCCATACCCCACAACCTCAACACCTTCATCCAAACCATCCATGATTCTCTACATGTACAAAATAAATGGTTGCTCTCCTCAC